AGGTACGAGAAATTTTATAATACATCGGGAGTAACTAGTGACATATACAATAGTTACTCCATGGGCCCACTTTGAGGAGAGAGATAGACATACAAAAACAAAAGAGAGAGAAACAAGAGAGAGAAAATAAAAAAATTTGAGCGGACGTAGATATCTTCTTAGCACTTTTAATAAGTATAGATGTAATTTCTATCTTTTTTATGTGTCTATCTCTCTCCTCAAAGTGGATCCATAGAGTAGCTATTGTACATAATACTAGTTACTCTCGATGTATTATAAAATTTCTCATTTGGGTACTTAATGACTTTTGCAAGGGAATAGTTTCATGGCAATCGAGTTTGCATAAATGTGTTACTCTATCAACCACAGAAGCTAAATATATCGCTCTTACTGAAAGGGATGAATAGTTGTTATGGATGAAAAAGTTCTTATTTAAACTTAGCCAACAGCAAGAGAACTTCGTGGTGCATTATGATAGTCAAAATGCAATCCATCTCAATAAGCATTCTACATTTTATTCTCAATTAAAGCATATTGAGATTAGATGCCAATGAATTTGAGATGCTATAGAAATGAAAACTTTTGTTATTAAGAAAATTCCTTATGGATGAGAATGAGTTGAATATAATTACTAAGTCTTTATCAACTTGAGTTTTGCAGAAGACAAACAAGGCCGGTGGAAGTGTGGAACCCTCTAAATAAGTTAAGAATGAGAGAATCATTAAGTTGAATCCTTCTTCATGTGGAATCCACAACTCATACCTTAAAAAATGAGAAGAACAAAAAAATACAAACCAAGGGAAAAAAATAAAATAAAATAAATTATCTAAACTAAAGTCACGTCCACTTGATTATATATATATTGAGGATTGGAATTTTTGCCGAGAGAAGAGAGAAGAAAGAAAATTGTGCTCTTCATCTTCATTGTCTTGATGAGACAGTGATTTCGAACCGATCAAGATGAAATTTTAATATATTGTTTCTAACGATGAACTGTTCGACTTGAACTGCGTTTATATTAAGGAGAAGCTTCTACATTTCGACATTTCTTAAAAACTATTTGGTTAGATCTAGTTTTTTTCATTGTTGAAATCTATTTTGATATAATGGAAGAATTTGAGTAAACTATGGTCTCGTGATTATTTTTTTCTCACATTGGATTTTCACATAAAAGT